AAATATTCAGGAATGTTTATAATGCAACAGGTCACCTACGGACCTCCAATAAATGGAGTTGTTGGATTGGTTCTTTATCGTGCAGAGAGCGTGGCATTTCCCTAAACAAAGCATCCGATTTAACGTGCCAATTTCGAACGGCTGGGTCAGTTATAAGGCAAGTAACTTTTGTTCATATGACTGATCCCTATGAAAACGTCAGCTTCTGGAAATGTCAATAACCAAACGTTGCTTGTATTGACATAAAAAAAATACCCTTGAGAAAATTTTTGATAAAACATTCAAAGTCAGTATATTTTGCATTTTAAATGTATTATCGTTTTCATAACAGTGTGGACGCGACCATTTCTTGGCGCGCTCAGAATACCAATTGAGTGGTTCAGACTAGGTGAACGTTCGTCTGTAACGCCCACTTATCACGTCAAACTTATTATAGACATTTAAACTGTGGGGTCGCCAAAGGTTTTCAATGCCTGAATAAAATAATTCGTAAACTAGCACAGGAATAAACCTTGTGTTTTGAATACTATTGAATACTTAAACATTCTTTACTGGCGTGTTTCTTATGTTTTGATAAACAATTATTTATGATATCGCACGTTCTTTAAACAAAAAAAAATAATTCAACTAGCTTTAAAAGTTACATTGCACGTGTTGGCTATTATCTTTTTCGGACGTCAAAGTGATTTAACAATGCGGTTGTCTAATTTTTTTCACTTAGTATCTTTTAACTTTTATCTTGTCTAAATATTTATTTTAGAACGAATGCATGATCAACTTTAAATAGCTGTGTAATTACAAAACATAGACAAAATATACTTTTTCGTACTTGCGAGATATTTTACAGTAAATAGCTATGTAGACGGACGGACGGACGGACGGACGGACGCACACACACACACACACACACACACACACACACACACACACACACACACACACACACACACACACACACACACACACACACACACACACACACACACACACACACACACACACACACACACACACACACACACACACACACACACACACACACACACACACACACACACACACACACACACACACACACACACACACACACACACACACACACACACACACACACACACACACACACACACACACACACACACACACACACACACACACACACACACACACACACACACACACACACACACACACACACACACACACACACACACACACACACACACACACACACACACACACACACACACACACACACACACACACACACACACACACTGATAGATATTGAAACACAGAAACCGAAAAAAAATTGAGTACAATTTTAAATTGTAAGGGGCGACCATTCCTGATTCAGTTAAAATAAGTGAGGAGGTGAATGTGCAAGAGGACTTTGAAATCAGTATGAATAACAGGAAAATAATCATTTATGCAGAAATGTCTTAAATATACGTCCTGAAATAACTGAGTAATACCAAAATTCAATGAAATTACCTGCTTCATTTTTAGTTAAAGAATATAGATCCCGTAACTTTTGTTATACTTGTTCAAAATCTAAAATAAATACCAATTTCAACAAAAGCTACTCTCTGAGTAACTTATTGAAAATAAAGCAGATTTTTCTCAAGAGAAAAGCTAATAGACTTTTAAGGCCAACACCTGTCGAAATACACGATATTTGTATGTTACAGATGTATAAACCCATCCATAAACGGTATATACGTACGTTTCATTTCTGGCCTAATATAATATCCGACTCCAATCAACGTAAATTTTGCACATAAGGCCGGATTCATATGCTTCTTGATATTTCCACGAGTTTTGTTTTGTTAGAATGATATTTAAATGTTCACGAAAATCTTATCGTTGGAGTCTTCGATGGGAATTCAAATTTGTTCCGTGCAAAAAATTATGTAGCCCAGAGGACTAAACGGATTTTTATGAAGGTCTAATGTTCTTATTACCAACTAAAATAATCTTAGTATGAAAACTAATCGTAGGTTACTCTGCATCAACTCGTACGAATAAATGTTTTCGTATCTTTTTAATGAGCCACAGAACGTTTGTGCAAGAAAAAACATAACTTTTTTCTCTCGATTACTTGGTGATATCAGCTATGAATATACTACTTCTTTCAAAAGAAACTTTTCGTTGTGAGTATATAGATATATTCAAAACAAATTCCTATAAACTTTCATTCAAAACCTTTTATTTTATGAATGGACATGTCGTAGAAACATGAGTTGTTATTGGCTTTGAACTAGCTGTCAGTAACTGCGAGTACTCTCAGATCTATACTTAGGGTCTTTTTTGTTGTTATACCCTGCAACGTCCTGTCTGTGTTTTTGTTTGACGTTTTTCTTTGTATCGATCTGATGAGTTAAGCCTTTTTTAACAGATTTTTATAGTTTGTTCTTATGTTGTGCTGTTACACCACCGTACCAGATTAGGGGGAGGATTGAGCGCTCACAAACATGTTTAACCACACCTCATTCTTTATGTGCCTGTTCCAAGTCAGGAGCCTGTTGTTTAGTGGTTGTCGTTGGTTGACGTCTGTCATATTTGTTTTTTGTAAATTGTTTTGTTATAAATTAGGTTGTTAGTTTTCTAAATTGAATTGTTTCATATTTCTCATGTCGGGGCCTTTTATAGCCGACTATGCGGTATGGGTTTTCTCATTGTTGAAGGCCGTATGGTTGCCTCTAATTGCTTACATCCTCTTTATTTGAACTTTGATGGATAATTGTCTCGTTAGCAATCATACCACATCTCCTTATTTTTATATATATGTGTAAAGATAATAATTACGTACATCCCCATTGGGTGGCCCCTGACATACTGAAATTGTGCGAAGTCATTGTCACGGTGACATTTGAATACCAGGTGTCCACACTGTTATGAAAATCATTCTATACCCAATTTGGGATATCATTTCTCAAACAGGTTATTTAATATGTGAATTACACATCTAGGCGAGACGTCTCAACCTGTTGAATATTCTCAATATGATTTTCAAATAAATACTAAAATATACCATTTTGAGCTGGTTATATGTATTTGATAATTTGAATAAGTACGATAATGCTGTAAGATCATAAGATTAAAGTTAAAGAATTTTGCTTTAGCAATACAATACAATATATGTTTATTTCAATTAAAGTCCCTTAGGGGGCAATGACAAAGATACAATCATAATTCAGTTATACAATTAATACAGTACAAGAATACAAGTAGTTTATTAAGAAAAAAAAATAGAGAAAAGAAAATGAAATATGAGTTTAACAAATTTGTTTTAATAAATAAGATTAAAGCATTAAATTATTTACAGTGAGTATGAATAAAGTAACTCAATTTTTTTTACTGATGTGTCCTCACAGTTCATTACCTAAAAGAACTTTTCTAGTGGATTCTTGTTGGCAAAATTATTACATGACTGAGATATAGTTTTATAAAAATTTTGTATTTCGCTCCTCTTCAAATTTGGTGCAATGAAGGAGAAAGTTTATCTCATCCACAACCTCATTAAAGTCACACTGCCTGCAAAGTCTAATGTATGGAGGGATACCCTGGTATCTGGCAGTTTCTATTTGCAAATAATGTGCTGAAATTCTTAGTTTCGTTAGACTCATCTTATGCTCAAAATTACCGACAAGAGATAAATAATTTTCAAATCCAAAATTTACCTGACAAGTTGTGTAAGTACGAAATTTCGATTCTGAATGTTTTTTTTTATATGATTTTCTAATAGTTTCAAAAAAACCTCTTTTACATGCCTTTTTAGTTTGCTTTTTGAAATTTTCTTTCTCTCAATCCCTGTAATATTTAGAAAGTTTGGTAGTATACGTGGAAGTGATCCATACCAAGATTATTTCACTTGGTTATATAATAAACTCATCATAGATACCAGGATGGAAAGATAATTTTTTGTTTTGTTCATAATATATAAAAAAAAAGATATGGTATGATCGCCAATGAGACAACTCTCCACAAGAGACCACACGACAGAGACATTAACAGCTATAGGTCACCGTACAGCCTTCAACAATGAGCAAAGCCCATACCGCATAGTCAGCTACAAAAGGCCACGAAGTCTATCATGTAAAACAATTCAATTGAGAAAACTAACGGCCTAATTAATGTACAAAAAATGAACGAAAAACAAATATGTAACACAGCAACAAACGACAACCACTGAATTACAGGCTCCTGACTTGGGACAGGCACATACATACAGAATGTGGCGGGGTTAAACATGTTAGCGGGATCCCATACCTCCCCCTAACCTTGGACAGTGGTGTAACAGTACAACATAAGAACGAACTATAAAAATCAGTTGAAAAAGGGTTAACTGATCAGATGAATACAAATAGAAATACATATAACAATAACACGTGGACGTGACCGGGTACTTGTACATCCCAATAACAAAAAGACTCCAAGTACAGATCTCTGAGAGTACTCGCAGTTACTGACAGCTAGTTCAAAGCCAATAACAACTAATATAAAAAATCATGCATCTAAGACTAAATCTATGACTAAATAAGCATTTTTAAGCAAGTGAAATTTATCTAGATGTTCATGTCGGTTCCAGTATAAGAGAGTATTGTTTATACTATCATAGAAAAGTGAAAAAGTTTACATGACCAATTTGCATAGAAATGTTTGCAGCAGGTTTGAAGAAAATACGCATGAGAAAGATTAATTTGCAGGTCTGCAGCAAACACTCATTTGCATATAAACGTTTGCTAGAGGTCTAGAGCAAGCACTCATTTGCATGATAAATTGTTTGTGGCAGAATTGCCGCCCATTTGCCTTTTAAATGTTTGCTGTAAGTCTGTAGCAAGTTTGCAGCAGACTTGCTGCAAATATTTGCAGGAGGCTGATTTTTTTAGTAAGTGTAGTGTACGTCTTTTAAATATATTGTATAACACATTAAATCATGGAAACCATATAGTAGACTTGATTAATTGTGTCTAATGGTGTAAAGTTAAAAACAAAGCGTACATGTTTTAAATATAAATAAATTAAATATAGATGTTTTCATTTAGGCTAGATACACATGAATAAATGATGTTTGTTTTCACAGGTACTGTTTATGTACATAAGTAGTTCTATAATTTGACTAATGTTAACACAGACAGTATCATAGATGACCTCGAGAAGCTGATCATAAAAACTTGCACCTTGATAACTGGTGACAGGTAAGCGTTGTATACATCTATGAAATACTTTTTACAGCGAATATGAATTGATTTTTTAAACACCGAAGTGCTTCTTTAAATTCGAGGTGCCTTGTTTGGTTGTGTAATATTTGGTTAGATAGGTAAACAACTACATGTAAAGTTTTGTTAATTCACTTTAGGGGTGCATAAAAAGACCACCAATATTTTATAATTTACAATATCATGTCGGTCTTAACAAGGAGATCCAAATAGAATCTTTGTGAATGTTTTGTTCATGACTATATTATGGGTTAGTGCCCCGTGCGCTACGTTGCAAGGTTCATATAAATAACGGGTATCCATGCGTCTGTCCGTCTGGTTTTGTAAGCGCTTTCACATGTACAATTCTTGTCAGATATTTATAAAACTTAAATTACAGGTTCATATTTATCAGCAATGTCTCGGACTAGTTCGAAAATCAGTGTTGATCAACTTTTTTTAAAGAGTCATGCCCCTTGGAAAAATTAACTTTATGAAAAACTGCAATTTAAGCACTCTTATGTGTACAATTCTTGTCAAATTTATATCAAAGGTTAATATCAATAATGTCTCTGACAAATTCAAAAATCTTCATTTTTTTTATAATAGAGGTTTCATCATGGCCCCTTGGAAATATTAATTTGCCAGATTTTTATGAAACTTATATCATAGGTTCATATTAGCAAAGTCTCAGACAAATTTAAAAATCAGTGTAGATCAACTATTATTAAAAGAGGAATGCCTCTTAGAAATATTAAATGTAAAATTGCATTGTAAGAACTCTCAAGTCTTCATTTCACTAAGATATTTATAAAAAGTTTTTTTTGACAGATAAAATATGTGCAACGCGGGGGACATTGGAACTCTGTTCTTTTATATATTTTCCTTACCCTTGTAACGCTTCGTGACCCTCAGAACGGATGGCACTCGTTTTTTTTCACGAGCCTGTTCCCTGTGAAGTGTGAAGTCGCATTTTCATCTTGTGCTATGAATGCCTTTTTTCTGCCGCGCAAAAATTTATTTGCACTTTTATACACGATTGATTCCTGCATTTTCAAATTTGTGTTGCAGAATATCCATTTTCATTCCGACTTATCCAAGGTTATTTCTTTTCAGGACAGGATATTCATTTTCAAAACATCCTGGCCCCCAGAAAATCAAATGTTCGTCCTTTAAATGATTATAAGATGTAAAAACTGAGTAAAAATTATATAAGAAATAACAAAATTTTCATAACATTTACCTGAAGTGTTGAGATTATATATCGGCGTTCAAGTACTAAAAATATTAATGAATTGCAAGATTTTTCAAAATATTACGGAAAATTAAAATGTGTCATTTTGATTTAAAATGTATTTTTTTGACTAATACAAAATGTGGATGTTGCATGTCTTAAGAACGCTTCATTTTATTTTTGCTAAATATTGTTCTATACTCTGTGTATAAGAGTGCTTAAATTGCAATTTTCCTTATAGTTAATTTTTCCAAGGGATATGACTCAATCGACACTGATTTTCGAACTTGTCCGAGACATTGCTGATAAATATGAACCTGTAATATAAGTTTTATAAATATCTGGCAAGAATTGTACATGTGAAAGCGCTAACAAAACCGGACGGACAGACGCACGGACGCCCGGTATTTATATGTTCATCGCAACGAGTCGCACGGGGGACAAACCCATAAGATAGTCAAGAACAAAACATTATCGTTTTATCAAAAAGATTCTATGTGGATCTCCTTGTTAAGACCGACATGATATTGTAAATATTTTACTCTATCTTTTAATTAATTAATTTGTTTTTGGTAACACGTGGCAGAAACAGTAACTTTCGTTTATTTTATAGATTGGAGTTAAACATCGACGTACGGAGTTTCCAAAAAATTTCAAGAAGTAAAAACCCATTGTACCACAAACATATGTTGATTTTTTCCCCGTCATATTGTTTGCTGTAATGTTAGTTGTTAACATCGTTGGATATGGATATAGAATGTACCTACAGGATTATTATTTGTATATAGACATATATAGAAATCATAACTAACCTAACCGGAAAGTGGGTATTTACGGGAGAAAATATAGACACCAGTGGTTTACCGATGTTCAAATCCCAAAAATTTATGAATTAAGAAGACAAAGATAACATACACAAACCTGAGGGAATCGCATAGACGTCAAAATGAGCGATGATGCATATGCTGATTACCATGATGACGACTATGAATGGATCTACGGACTGTTGCTATTATATTTTGAAGGCAGAGAAAAGTATAAACTCTTATTGCGTAACAGAGATTGGCTAGTATGTGAAAACATATGAGAAAACATTACGTTTTCTATGTCGAAATGTAAAAAGATGATTCTTGTAGTTTCTAATAGTTTTGCGAAATGTGGATGGTTCATTTTGTAACCATGCAGACACTATTATTATTAAGGTACTAAAAATGTTTTCGAATTTGTTCATTTCGTAAAATGTAAAATAATAAAAATACCGAACTCCAAGGAAAATTCAAAAAGGAAATTCCATTATCAAATGACAAATTTAAAAGCTCAAACACATCAAACGAATGAAAAACAAATGTCATCTTCCTGACTTGGTACAAGCATTTTCTTATGTAGAAAATGGTGGATTAAATTTGGTTTTATAGTTAGCTAAACCGCTCACTTGTATGACAGTCGCATAAAATTCCATTATATTAGCTAAATATAATAATTCTTTATTGCAAAACAAACAAAAACCAATGTTGGTTATAGAAATACAGACACAAAAAAAAACATAAGAAAAAACACAGCAATAATAATGTACATGTTAAAAACAGTTATTGGTCTCCTTTCCTCAGTTCTAATGATTCTTTAATAAAAGAAACGACTGCTTTTATATCATTGGGTATGGATGGATTTAGTATAATCGCAAGTTTATCAATTAAGTAAAGTCTATTAAAATTGACATATTTTTCGATATAATATTTTGAAAAGGTTCCTCTATTATTTTCATTAATTTTACAGTTAAAGAAAAAATGGAATTTATCATCTAAGATATTACATATTTTACATTTTCTTTCATTTCTTGGTACTCTTGTATATCTTCGAGTTTCTATTAAAAGTCAATGATCGCTTATTCTAAATTTGGTTAATACTTTTCTTGTTTCTTTGTTTGGGTGATATAGGTAGTATTCCATTTGGTTATTTATATTAGATTTAAGAAATTTATATAGATATATTGTATTATTTTCATTCAGGTTGTTTATTTTATCATTGATAAAAGAGGGACGAAAGCTACCAGAGGGACAGTCAAACTCATAGATCGAAAACAAATTGACAACGCCATGGCCCAAAATAAAAAGACAAACAGACAAATAATAGTACAGATGACACAACATATAAAACTAAAGTCTAAGCAACACGAACCCCACCAAAAACTGAGGGTGATCTCAGGTGCTCCGGAAGGGTAAGCAGATCCTGCTCCACATGTGGCACCCGTCGTGTTGCTTATGTTATTACAAATCCGGTAAATAGTCTAATTCGGTAGGTCACATTCGTGAAAAGGGAAGGGTATTGTAGTTACGACATAAGGAACATATCCGATTTCATCTGTGAAACGGTGATTTCATAACGGTCAACCAACTCGTGATGGCGTCCGTAAAATTTACGACGGGATGATTTCAACTTCACCATTTGGAACTCTTGGTTTGATTGCTTCCTTGTGAGCAGCAATCCTCTATCAAGGAAATCATGATAGGAAATACAAGCCCGGGAATATCGTATCAATTGGGAGATATATTCTCCGGATGCAGGCGCTGCTGGAATGTTGCTACAAAGAAATGGAAAGTTCACAATTGGGAAGCTGAAATCATCTCTTTTGTCGTGAAGTTTTGTTTTCAACCGACCCTCATGGTCAATTTCTAGATGTAAGTCAAGATATGAGGCAGACTTAACTGTATCTATAGTATCCTTTATCTCTAGTTCGATGGGATAGATTCGTTCAACATAGTCACCAAATTTTGTATTATTTAGTGAGAGAACATCATCTATATAGCGGAACGTAAATTCAAAGGATATTGCTAACTTCTTATCTTTCTTCCTTATTCGTGATAAGAGTTTAATAATAGTTAATAGAACATTTTTTTAATTGGGATTTTAACTTTTAGTCTGTTTTAAAGTTTGATGTCAATATTTATTTCTTGTGACACATTTACCAAGAGTATAATCCTTCAGTATCTAAATTTTTTGTTAAGTAAAATGCGTCATTAAGAAGTGGGTTTGAATTTTCATTATCTAATCTTGATAGGTAAATCATGGTTTTAGTTTTTATAAAAGTTTCTAATGGCAGAAGTCCTTGTTCATTTCTAACAGCTAGATTTGTTGAGCTTCTTTTTGTTCCCAGTGCTTGTTTAACAAAATGCAGCTGGGGTTTTTCTAAAATAGTTTTATCAATAAAATGAATGACGTCTGGTGTTAAGTTATTTTTGTAAGCTCGCAGTTTAGCTCTGTAAAATTGAATATGAGTGTTCATATAACATATTTCACTATTATATGTTAGTATAGGTTTAATCAATGTTTCAAAAAGGTTGCAGAACACTCTCACAGGCAGTTGTCTAAAACCTGATGAGTAAGAATTGATAGCAAATAAAACTTTTCTTGCCTTATCTGTACTACAACTAGTTAAACTGCCATTACATGTTATAACAGATCAAAGGTATTTGTAGTCATGAACTTTTTCAAGGTATTTTCCTTTAAACTTAAAGAAGGGTTTTTCATTTTACTGCATAATTAAACTTTAAAAGAAAACAAAAGCCTACTACAGGCTGTGAATTAGTCAATTTTTAAACTAATTTCATTGCAAGTTTAAATTGCATTTAAAAATAAAAGAGCAAGTAGCTGTTTTTAGTACATTTGAAACTGGAGGCCGTTGGAAATTACACAGCGCCAATAACATATGTAATGTTCGTTATAAAATAATGCTCTCAGTATGTACTGGATGAATATACAATAAGCCAATTTCAGAGTAGGTTCCTCCATAAGCCTGGAAATCTCATATTATGAGGTAAGGAACTAAATACAGTGGTACACATTTGGAAAATTAGTCTCCGGTCATTTTATAAAGACACGCACTGTAATGATAAACTGTCATGTAGCGTCCACAGCGATGACCAACCTAGAATGAATATAAATCGAAGATACTAGTTTATGAGACAGTAGTTCGCAATACGTATTTGATTTTGAGACATGTCATTATAACTGAGCATTTATGTCACGGCTACGAAAAAAGAAAAATATAGACAGAAATGTTTCTAAAATACTATATTAACATATCTATGGGTGGCCCTTTGAGAAGCGTGGTCTAAACTCTAACAACATACTAATACATACACCCTGAACTTCATTTCGAGTGTTTTAACATATTTGTAGAAGTTCAGCAGATTCACCGAAACTTAGTAAGCAAAAGCTAGAGGAACATCGCAATGAAACACTAAAAGTCATCTTAAGCCATGAAAAGTAAGTCTGTATAAATAAAGTGTAATACAACAAAATATGGTAAGTAGCAAACATTGTCAAGTAAAACAAATATTAATCAAAATGTACTCGTAGCTTTACAAGCGCTCTGCAGAAATTCATTAGTTGACAAAAAAATGATATGTAATTTGTCATTCAAACCTCATGCTTCAAGAATCTCAACTTGGGTAATTCTATTGTTTGCATGGTATCAAAGTTATACATCTATCTTATAGCATGTTAAATGTTTTTTATTGTTAAGGAAACATTTGAAGCGATAATAATTTTATAACATAATTTGAATGAAACAATTCTAAACACTTTATATAAGATCATTACCCCATGCAAATTGTGTAGGCAATTACGTGACTGTGCAGAAATTATTTAATTTTTACACGACATATTACCCTTGAAACTTTATATTAAAGCAATAAATTACATTAAACCTGGCTATTTAATTTTTTTTATATTTCGATTCTACCTTTGTATAACTATAGAAGAAATTCATCATATATTGAAGCTGTTAATGTTCTACAATGAACATAAATGCAACTGGTCAATGTGTTTTAATTTAAAAAAATTAACTAAATGACATAAGGCGAATCCTCCAGAAAGCATTCAAGATTCTTAGATTTTGAAATCATTACTAAAAGCACTTCCGGTCATCCTTTATGGACATTTTTTTCTGGATTTCTTTATAAATCAATAACTTATTTACCCATAATTAAAAGAAAAAGAATATAATTTCCCTCTGTTTGCCTATACATATGGTAGCATCCCACAAAAACAGCAATCCCTTTGGTATCATAAATTGTTTAAGTACATGTAATTGTACGTACATCAATATTTGAATACTTGGAGAAGCAAATCACAAAAACTGTTATACATATAAGTTAAGTTAAGATGACCCATCATAAGCTAAATCTCAAAATAAAAGAACACAACAATTGTATAAACAACAAAAATCATGACGATATGACAGTCACAAAACTGAAAAAACTCTGCTGAATACAAAATATAATCAACAATAAAACTATAATTAGTGGTAGTAATAAAATTTTGGGGACCCATTTAACTGCACCAGATGCAATTCAATTAAAAGTATGTCAATGTTTATTGCTTAACCTGATGATAAAAGGTGGCAGGACAACAGATTAAAAAGGATAGAAGGACAACAGATGATAAAGGATGACAGGAAATTTATGTACCATTTAACAAAATAAAAAAAGTCATTCCTGAGACTTAGAAATCTAGGACTACAACCTTTTAAGTACAGCATAGTTTGTAAGTAATAAATACAAATAGATCAAATTTCCCTAATTTCATACCATATTTCTAATAGTTGTTTTGACAATATGATTTTCGCACAGAATATACAATCAAGGGGACGGCACCCGAAAAATAAGGCATACGTAGCAACAGCTGAAAATAGATGGTCATCCATCAAAAAATTTCCCTGGCCCCTCACCAGAATATCAAATGGTCTTTAAAGTGACATGCTTCTAACTGAAATGCATGTTTAAATAGACTAACTAAATATCATAGCGTTCGATTGCCGGTTAAAGAATACCAGCCTTGAAAGATAGAATTTGAATTCTGCTACTCCGCTATTATGAACGTGGCATGTGAGAGTCAAATAAATTACGTGATCATTCTGAGATGATATGTCCTGATGCCTTTTAAGCTTACCTGTTTAAATCCCGGCTAGGGCTTTCGGTAGGTACAACGCAGAATGTATATGCATATCATGATATCATGTTTTTTATGCTGGAGATGTAGATTATATTTGCCGCTGGCTGTTAAACATCCAACCCTCCATCCATTACAGTCATGGAGTATCGTAAGGCATTATTTGCAAATAAAGATTAGGGGCTATTTTTCTTCCTACAAAAATACAAAAATACAAGAAACCTTCCGTTTACTCACAAGCTTACTTAATTACTCACTTACTTAACAAGCACACATTTAATATTAAAATCATTGTTCTAAATTATTCACGAATTTGCAATAAGTCACTGAACGTTAAATTACCAAACAATCAATAGTCCTTAATGTGAATACTCTGAATTAATGTGAATACTCTGAATTAATGTGAATACTCTGAATTAATATGATTATTGTGAATTAATGTGAATACTCTCTATTAATGCGCTGCTTAACTTTTTTCCTGATATAAGAATAAGGAGATTTGATATGAAGGTCAAAGATACAAGGCTTGTAACATGGTACGCCAGACGCGCGATATGTCTATGTGAGACTCATCAGTAGCTCGAATCATAATAGTTAGGTGACCAAAAGAATACAAAGTTGAAGAGCATCAAAAACCGAATTTTCCGAAAAGCTAAATACGACTAAGGCAATCTATATCTGGGGATAGAAAACCATAGTGTTAATGATACAACTTTAATTGTGGACCGAAGAATGAGATGAACAGTAATACAGTTCACCATATGATCATCTTGAATTAAAAAACCCAATAACGAAAAGTAAGATGTGAATGTTCCCTGGATGTTTAAGTGTTAAACAATTCAAAAGCGAAAACAAACAGCCTTCTCTATACTTTTACAATAAATTCTTTACATACAGATTGTACCGAGGTTCAACATGATAGTGAGCGCCTAGCCT